AACCTCTTCCCCCTCGTGCCCCCCCACCTCCGTGAAGCCCCCGTAGGTGGTCTGGTAGAACTCATCCTCCTCCGCCTCCAGCAGCCCCGCGAGCCGGTTCCCCGCCGTGCGCCGCGGCGCCCTGCCCCCCGCCAGGCTCATCCCCCAGCCGCCGGGCCCCGCGAGCGATTGCTCAGGCCTGGCCCAGGCCAGAGCGAGCGCACCGCCGAGCGAATCCAGCCCACGGAGCACCGAGAGATCGAGGCGGGGAGGCGCGGCCAGTGGAGAACCATGGAGCACCGAGCGATCGATGGAAGCCAGGCTGCCCAGGTAGAACCCCACTGGGCCAGCTGGGGACAGAAGCAGAGACAGGGACAGCTCCTCTACTGCACGTTCCAGAGAGCCTGTCTGTGTGTCTGTCAGTCCCCCAGCTGGGGGACATGAACCCCTCCCCTAGCTGTGCCCGCTGGAGCTGTAGTGGCCATGGACAGATGCTTCTCACTTGGCCCCAAGCTGCTGCGGTGACAGAGGGCTGGAGTGGTCCTCTCTCCCCAGGGCAGCCTGAATACCGAACCCCACGCCCCTTTGCAGAACAATGATTTAAATGAAAAAAAAAAACTTTTTTGACTTGAGCAATGCCGGGTTCGTCTTCTAGTAATACAAAAAAATCATCCATTACTGGCCATCTGGATTTTGATGCTAAAGGTGTTGTTATTTTCAATTTTCTCTGCAGCCATGAAGCCTCCTGGTTTGAGCTGGGAGGCTGACAGACTTGTTGGGCTCCTGGGCAAGGCTGGGCAGCTCCATGCTCCCAGAAGGGGCGGAGCCTCAGACAGGAGGGGGCGGGATTGGGAAGCCCTCAGCACCACCTGGAGCAGGGATGAGTAAAAGGGCCTTCGCAGGCCAGATCTGGCCCACCAAGTGCGTTGATCTGGCCTTGCCTCTCCCCCACCCCCCAGGCCAATCAGAGCCTAGGGATGGGGGAGCGCACAGCACGGTGAACCCTGGCAGTTGACTCTAAGCACCATGCGCTAGAAGGCAGGGAATGAGCAACTTTGTGTGCTCCCCCCCCCCCCCCCACCCCCGCACCAGCAGGGGAAAGCACGGGAAGTCTCTTCCCATCCTGCCAGGAGTGTACGGCACTTCTAAGCGCTGCATCTTCCTTGCAGAACAAGGGCAGGGCGGGAGGAGACTTTGCATGTTCCCCCCATCCCCAGGCAAATCAGGGCTTGGGGATGGGGGAAGCGCACAAAATCTCCTCCTGCCCTGCAAGGAGCTCAGTACTTAAAGTCAACCACCAGCTGCTGTTCTGCTGGCGGTTGACTCTAAGGCTACGTCTACACTGGCACCCTTTTCCAGAAATGCTTAAAACGGAAGGCTACATCTAGACTGGCCCCTTCTCCGGAAGAGGCATGCAAAGCAGGCAAGTCAGAATAGGGAAATCCGCAGGGGATTTAAATATCCCCCGCGGGATTTAAATAAACATGGCCGCCGCTTTTTTTCCAGCTTGGGGAAAAGAGCGTCTAGACTGGCGCAATCCTCCGGAATAAAGCCCTTTTCCGGAGGATCTCTTATTCCTTTTCCGGAGGATCGCGCCAGTCTAGACGCTCTTTTCCCCAAGCCGGAAAAAAAGCAGTGGCCATGTTTATTTAAATCCCGCGGGGGATATTTAAATCCCCCGTGGATTTCCCTATTCTGACTTGCCTGCTTTGCATGCCTCTTCCGGAGAAGGGGCCAGTCTAGACGTAGCCGAAGAGTTTTCCGTTATAAGTATTTCCAGAAGAAGCGCGTCTACATTGGCAGGATGCTTTTCCGGAATAAGTGGCCCAGTGTAGACAAGGCCTAAGGGTGGTACTCCCTTGCAGGTCTGGGGCAGGAAGCAAGAAACTTTGCGTGCTCCCCCTCCCCCAAGGCCTGATTGACTTGGGAAGCAGAGGGGAAGCACGTGAAGTCTCCTCCAACCATTGGGGAACGGGTGCCTAGAGAGAACTGCCAGCTGTTCAGAAGAGCTGGCAATTCTCTCTGCAGGGGTGAGAGACAAAGACTTTGCGTGCTCCCCTGTCTCCAGACCAATCAGAGTCTGTGGGTGGAGAAGCACTGAAGTGTCATGGCCCTGCCCTTTCTGCCTGAGGTCCCGCCCCTTCCAGCAGCCTGGGGCCACTTCAAACATTTCTGAAGTAGCCCCCAGTCAAAAATTATTGCCCACCCCGGCCTCGAGTGTGCCATGCTGCCCTCTCTCCCAAACCTCAGAGCCACCTGGAGCACGCCATGCAGTGCTCCCATAGTGATTTACAGGGCCCAGGCTCCCACCACTTCTACTCCACTCCCTCTGAATTGCCAGGTCCCTTTGTCTCCCCATCAATGGGCCTGTGTGTGGACAAAAAAAATACTGTAAGCATCTAACACAGTGGGGGTTTGTCCACAAAAGCTTATGCCCAAACAAATATGTCACAGGACTCCTCGTTATAATTCCACCACAGCACAATGGGTTTGTGGCCTCCAATGGGAAATACATCTGCCCATTGGTCTTATCCCAGTGTAAGACACAAAGATCCATAGGCCAGATTCAGTATGCCCAATCCTATTGAAGTCAACAGCAATTGCATTCACTAACAGCAAGAGATTAATTTGGTCCACAAAGAAAAATAAACCAAATCTTGACTCTCACTAGCACTGTCTCTGCAGCGGAAGTTTTTTGAACACTTTCCACGAAGCATGCCTTTGTTATGGGGTGTTCATTTCTGATTTCTCAACATGATTAACTCATCTTTGTTATAAATCTAGATTGATAATATACCCGGAAGAAACTTACAAAACTCAGCTAATAATGCATGATGAACTAATTATCTCTTGATCGGCTTTGTTGCTAAAATATGTTCTGTGATTCTGAATTTGGAACTTACAGGTTTTTTCACACCATAGGACACAGGTGCCAGCTTCCTCCTTTCCCCAGGAGTGCTCAACCCCAGGCTTAACTTCCACTGTATCCCTTCACCAGGCCCCACCCTCACCCTGCCTCTTCCTTTCCATGTTGGGCCCCTGCCTTGCCTCTTCCTGGCCAGTTCTACCCCTTCTCCTGAGTGCTCCTTTCCAGCTCTTCTTGCACACTGCAAAGCAGCTGATTGTAAAGGCCAGGTGCTGGAAGGAAGGGAGGGATCTGATCCGTAGGTCCCTCTGGCTGGTGAGATGTTCTGGGGAGGGGAAAACGAAGGTGCCTGCCTCTGAAGGAGGAGGGATAGCTCAGTGGTTTGAGCCTTGGCCTGTTAAACCCAGGGTTGTGAGTGCAATCCTTGAGGGGGCCATTTAGGGATCTGGGGCAAATCTGTCAGGGATGTTACTTGGTCCTGCTGTGAGGGCAAGGGACTAGATTCAATGACCTCTCAATGTCCCTTCCAGCTCTATTAGATGGTATATCACCATATATTATTATAAGTGCTCATTGTCGACCTAACTTACATCTGCATGCAGCCACTGCAGCTATTGAATTGCTTGTGTGCATGCACACTTGGCTCCTTGTGTTGGTGGATACTACCAGGAGCTCTAGTATCCATTGTATTGCCAGTGTGGGGCACTGTGAGACAGCTCCTGACAGGCACGAACAGTTGACATAAGTATCTCAGTGTCCACACTGACGCTGGGTCAACCCTAATTTCATTGACCATGACTCTACGCCGCTTGGGGAGATGTATTACTAATTTGGCATAGAGAGGCACATAAACACCAGTCGGAGCCAAATGTAAATGAAGTCACTTCCACAGCCAGATCACCACAAGGCAGCTAACATTGACCTGTGTACTGCAGACCAGGCCTAAATGTAGGAAATCTAACTTGACTCACTTGGGTTTTAGTTTCAGGTTTGCTGGGACCAATAGCTCCTCCTCGTATAAGTGGTAAGAAATAATGTTTGGAGATTGTATGATAACACTCATTCCATTACCTATCTGATCTCACATCCTTCTGCTCCTTGCTGCCCTTTAAGATTTCCTCTCTCTCTGGCTTGATTGATGGTTACCCTGCATTGGAACAATATAATTTAAAACCCGCTTTGCATTAATGTAAATAACAACCCAACACTCAAGACAATAAGGAACCAGGCTGAGAATCCAAACGGTGCATGTGCATTGCTGTTTGCTTGTGCTGCGTTGTCTGTCTGAAATTGCTTTTGCTTTCTGAGATTCATTACAGTGTTGTCTAAAGGTTCGAGCGCAAACATGGGAATCAAGTTAATGTTCATGCATATTTTTTTAAGTCAATGTGAACTTTGCCCGAGTACAGACTGCAAGGCGACAGGCTTAATTATTGTGAGACAAAAGAGGCCAGCTCCTTCCCTGATAAAACTCCATTGATTTCAAGGAAGTTACATCACAGATAAATTCAGCCCAGGATATGTGCAGACCAGATGTAGGGGCATTGTCACTGACCAACGGGTAACGGCTTTCAAAGCCAAAGGTACTTAGGGGCCTACCTCAAATGGGAATTAGGCACCTACACACCTTTGAGGATCTGGATCTTAGTTACCAGGATTATTCTGTGTTATTTTAACAGTTGTCAATTATTTTTCTTTAGCGTATAAGGACTGTTTTTGTGTATTATTGTTAAAGGATGTGTTGGGGGGAGGTTACTCAGTGAATGCCTTAAGCAAAATAAAATGTAACTAATTACAGCATCTAGAATAAGGCCACCCAGTAACTCCCAGAATCATTCTGCCACATGGGATGGAGTGCTTGTCAGGTAATCTATTTTTAATATTGATTCTTGTAATAGCAAATCTTGCTGGACCTATTTTGGGGCTTTGGTGGATACACATGTGGGTGTAAGAGCTGAAGGGTTTAGTTCACACGACCTTCCTGGCTGCATGGATTCTGTTTCGCTCCCAGGAAAGGTCACACAAGCAGAGAGTCTTATTAGCTTCCAGCAGCTTATATACATCTCTTCTATGGGTGCTGTTTGTATTGGGTCCCACCGAAGGAATCTGGAACTAGTCATCTCTCTGAGTCAGAGCTCTCAGAACTCCAGAGGGTGTAGGATGCTGCTGTCAGACTCCTTGGTGCAGCACGCCAGCCCCACGCCCAAACACAGTGTGATGAGGCTCAGTTACTTAGCGTGTATCAGTACTTTGAACACATACAATGCTATAGATGTGCTGAGTAGTCTATTATGGGCCCCTTCTACTGACTACAAAGGTTGTTAATGGGTTTGTTATAGTAAGATAGAAACAAGTATACTTGG